AGTTGAAATGGTAAATTGGCCACCGTAACGATTACAAAAGCTGACGTTTCGAGCGTTAGCCCTTCTTCGGAGCGAATAGTGGAATTGTGGGTTGTGTGTGCTTTTAAAGGCAGAAAAAGAACACACAACCCACAATTCCTCTATTCGCTCCGACGAAGGGCTAACGCTTGAAACGTCCGCTTTTGTAATCGTTACGGCGGCCAATTCACCATTTCAACTTTGTTGATATATCCAAATTATTTCGTTACCCCCACCGACGCAGCCCCAAACAGTTTCTTTAGAAACTATCAGCCTTTATTCATAATATCAATACAATCGTTTCGAAAGGTACGATATTCTTATTGACTCAATTAACACTCAGCCTAGAAAAGTAAGTTTGACTTAAACGCGCTTCAACAAGACATATCTTAATGAAGATTTTACAACATGAACCTCACCCATGAACGCGAGCAAATCCTGTGATTATTTCTGGTCCAAATCTGGTTTTAAACTCCTGGAACTGGCTTCCATCAACAAGTCTTGCCAATATCTGGCCACAAAATTACAGAGAAACGTTTGTTACTTTGTTTTCTGTCTGCAATTGAGATGTTAAAAACCACGCTTTGATATTCTGTACATTGATTCTTACCTCATAGATAGGAAATTGTGTACTGTCATGTAATGCAAGTGTTAAAAGATCATCACAGTCAAACAAAGGAGCTTGTACATCTAAAAAAAAAAACGAGAAAACCAGCGGGAAAACGAGCTTGCTAAGGATACAGATCTAACGTTACTTTCTCTAAATTTCCTGAGTGAAAGACAGTCAAATGGAGAAGTTTAGCAACTGATAGACCAACCAAAGAGACAAATACATGGTTGCCTGACCAGAGAAATGCATTAATCGACCAACAAGCTAACTGACTAACCGCCAATAAGATTAAGAAAACAACTGGCCGACTAAATATACTGGATGGCTAGTTGACTGAGTTACTCCCCGACTGAGTGACTAGCTAATTCACTGGCTTAAAAGTCTATCGTTAGCCCTTCGTCGCTCCGACGAAGCGCTAACGCTCAAAGGACGCAAGCCTAGGGAGGAAAGTCTCGCCTCGAGCGAAGCCACTCTCGTCTCGCGAGAAGGTAAAAAAAAAAAAAAAAAGTTAATCCGGAAGCATATTCAAGTTTCCGAGTCGTTCCGAGGGAATGCAGTATATCTAAAACCAAATCACTTCTAAACGCAAAGCACGAATCGGCAAGGGATCATTTTTATCATCATGGAAAGTATCGCGTATAAAAGTTACAGCTGTTCGCATGACTGTTTGTCGGGGCTGGTATAAACCACCTGCACACCGGATTATGAAGTGATTTTATGTCCTCTCATGATATTGAAATCGAGCTCATTTACGCTTTTTCACTCAGAAAACACCAATCAGATAAACATTTTTTTGACTAGCATTGGCGGCGTGAAAGTCTCTCAATCCACCACTTTCCATAAAAGTCCCATGCACTGGGCAGTTTTATTTTCTTACACCACGCATCATACCTGAGCACAGGCTA